ATAGATAGATAGATAGATAGATAGATAGATAGATAGATAGATAGATATTACAGCTTTCAAGAGCTACAGTGTCAAGTATTTCCAAAAGATGCTCACAAAAAAAGAGGGAAATGCAAGCGCTAGCAAAAAATCTAAATCATGAAATAACCAGAGACTTTAACAAATTAGGTATCCTGAGTTATCTCTGGTCACCAAACCCTTTAAACAATCAGTGCTTGCAATTCTAAATCCCTTGAATGAATACTTTTTGATCTCATCCAGGAACCTTTATGAGCGATTTATCGTACAGAATTCCATCACTCGATAAAATACTATTAATGGGGTGCTGTGGGATGACTGAACATACCTTATATCGGATTCATTATGCTCCTTTTCAACTGTGATGCAAGTATTTCCAGTAGCCTTTACGTCCGCCATTTCAACTGCTCATTACCGTTCAGCCATTCGTCAATAGAATAACACAGTTGGACGGTTTGTTTTTTCAACTCCCCTCCATTCATCAAACCTGTGGATCACTGCTACCGCGTGAAAGCTCAGCTCACACGAGTTTAGCCGAGCGCCGCGCAGATATTGGGTTACTCTGTAACTGGAGTAATAAGAGCAAATGCATTGATTGAACAAATGCAGACGGCTTAGTGTTTTGGTCCTAATCAGTCTGCAGGAACTCCCACTCCTTCTGTGGTTCAGACACAAAATAATCTCACGCCAGTCGGATTCATCAGTAGGTTTGTGCGATCACAAAACTACTGCTATCACAAGGCTTCCCCGCGCTCTAGGTTTGTACCCTTGTTTCTGTCTGCGCTCTCTTGTATTTGCATTAATAAACACTATAGGTCATGATGAACATAGTGGACCCATTTCCACCTGTTTCTGATTACTGTAATTAGCAAGTGAGTTGAAGAAGGGTTTGACAGCTGAACTGGGAGCAGCAAATCTGAACCTGGTGAAAAATGAGTGGAAAACTAGAAGAACGCTTCAGGGAGAGAGGTCATGCTCGCAAATGGACTCGTGGCTCCCGGACCGGCTCCCAAAAAATCTAAATGAATACCATAGCTACACTGACTTGAAGAATGATGCCAAAGACTGTGAAAGTGGATAATAGGAGCGCATAGGTCAAGGGTCCAGAAGACATCTTGAATGTGACTGAACTAATCAGTCACACTCCAGGAGCTGAGATTGATAGAATCCTTTTAATAAAACTTATCAATCAAACTGATAACAACTTAATTTTCATGGCAGGGAACCTCATTTGGACTGTAAAGGAGGTGGGGTGGTCCCCCACTCAGAAAATTAAAATGTACACAGAGCAACAGTCATGCTAGTCTTTATTGATTCAGTTGTGTAAACAATCAGAAATACTTGAATGGAGATTGTACAAAAGAATATGGTTTGCATAGTGCACAGGAGCACCAAGTTGTTGTCACTTAAAGAATGCAGAATCGTTTAAGTTTATTTCTAACTTTTCAGATAACAATTCACCATACTAATAATCCATTAGAATTAATTACTGATATTACTAATATGAAAATATTGTTTTGGACAGAAAGGTAATTTAGTTAATTGTCTCTAACATTTTTTTCCATAGACAGCTTTTATAAACACCTGCGTCTGAAAGGCCCAGACAGACAGTCTGAAAGGATTTTCCATTTGGATCGTAACAGCTCATATTAGTGCAAATATAAATGCAGACAAAGACAGCTGTTGATGAACAGTTTCTGACACACCACAAGACAGTGATTCACCTAAGGAGATAACACTTGCACGTGCAGGTTGAAACAGACAGCAACCACCCAAACATAAGCCCAAACATAAGCCTTGAGGGTCTCCTCAGAGGATCACACCACTGCGACCAGGAATCGCCTTATTCTGGTTCTCTGCCAATTCTCTGTTTCTGTGTTGCTGTGGAGTCCCCCTCTGTTCTGGACAGATTTGTCTGTCTGGCCCAGTCAGGACAAGGTCACAGGGGGGTTGTGTAAATGTACTCTCCCTGTGGGTGGGATGAAAGCTCAAACAGATTTTTCCATGACTCGCCCAGTGAACGAAGCATCTTTTGCCAAAACAAAGCGAGTCATCCTCATTCTAGTCAACACAGGGAGCCATTTAGGTGAATTCGCCTGGGAGTTACGTTTTCCCGTCGATCAGTCGTTGCTGCTCCATGATTCATATGGCGGTGGGTTTCCATAGGATGTGCAAGCTGGTTGTGATTGTGATTCTTTCCCACTGATGTAATCTGCAGCCAGGCCATGGGGAGCAATTTGTTCCCCGCTTTTTAAAAAGTAAATGTGTTACTGAAATTAGGCAAACTTATTATACTGGCTAATACAGGAAGTGCACTTCACTAAAGCTCTAAAATTAAGGTAAGGTATGTGATGCCTGAATTAAGCACCAGTTATGGCATTTCTTTTTAAAATGTCACACTTTCACCATCAAGCGTTGTTGTTGCTCCAAAGAAATGAAAAATATGCCATCTTTTTTCCTAAGTTTAGATAAAGGGTTAATGTTATCAGAGTGCTGGTGGACAAAGGCGATGCTTTGATGTAAGTACTACTGTTGTCTAACATTTTTCATGAGCATGTTTGACTAAATCTACAGAATAAAAAAGAAAACAACACATTTCTCTCATGTAACATGACCCACTCCAAATCTGGTGTCAATGTTAATTGTTTATTTGAACAAAACATGCACTTCATCTTGCTTTCTGTCAGAAGGAGTCCAACAACAATATCACATGTCTCTAATCCCTCCCATCAGGAGATGAAAGTCATAAATAATCGTCTGCTTTGCTTTGTTTACCCCATCCGCACCTCTTTAATGAAACGCATGTGTCCAAAATGATCCCATCAACAGCGGCATCGTGGAGAATGAGTGTTATAAATGTCTTCAGACTTAATGGACCTGATTTAGGAGCACGAACATCAGTGCTGTCTTGGGTATGTTGTGGGCCAGCCACAAGCTTCAGAAACATCCCATAAAATATAGAAGGGATTTCGACGAAATTCCTTTTTATTTTTAGTGGAGATTTAATATTTCTTCTTTTATTATCTCCTAGTGCTCTTCACAACTTCATGGTGTAGTAGTGAAAGATAAATCCCCCCTAAATGCAAACCTTTTAGCTCAGGCTGGCTCAAGTTCCTCTTTGACTCTCAATACTTTAGTGCACTTAACCTAAGCTGTCTGTCATTTAAGGCCTTTTCATTTGGGTGGTTGTCAGCCCTCAGACATAGTAAATGCATGACATCATGACCATTGCATGCCACTGATTGACTGTGTGTTTTGGTTGCTTGACCTGAAGGAAGCACCCCGGTTTGCAAGGTTCACTGGTTTTCACCTTTGTGTGTGCAGATATCCCACATGACTATATATTCTGAGATGCAGTGAAACACACAAAAGTTAGCAAAGCATACCTTCTTCTGACATTTCACTGATGTCTATCACAGTGGACGGCCTACACCATCAATCAAACTGCACCCAGTGGTCGTGCCTTAAACTTAACCCTTTGCTGACTCATTTATCTCATGGATAGTACTACCTTCAGTGGGATTCCAGTTGGTTTCCTTAGACTTCAGGTGTCTGTGATACTGGTGATGCACTAAACATCCAAACATATTTACAAGTAACAAATTACAAATCATATTGTGATAAACTGAATGACATCAAATACAAATGAAAAAAGAGAAAATACCATATACGTTCCAAAGGGAAATTATGTTTCCCTTAAAGCAGTGTGCAGTCAAAAAAAAGGAACTTTTTGTCCCAAAGTTTTTCGTGTCAGATCATAGTAGAAAACAAAGCTTCTGAAATGTTTTCAGTGAAAATGGAGGTTGACGTCAAACACTGGAGATGTTATTCTGCCACTATCTGGGCACATTTTCTTGTTAAATGATTCAGTTCGATCCGTAAAATTAGTCGTATTTGTATGAAATATTTTGATGTACAGACATTCATTTTGTTTGAAGCTTTTTTGCTGATAGTCAAAGTTTGTTTTCCACCAAATGTGTTGCTGCACATTCTGACCAAACAACCCCACTGTGGTCATCTCTGTGTAAACCAGCATTTCTCCAGAAGCCTTATTCAGATGCTTTTTTAAAAATTTAATGTGGCCATGTTAATTTAGAGAAATTAGGTCTTTTTATTGGGAACCTTTCCAATACAGCTCAATTTAGCCTTTTTATGAGTTGCTTTTACAGACCAACAAATTGATACATATTCTGATTTTATAGAACTACAGATGAGCAGTCACTAAGGTGCATTGGATATGCAACACCTAGCTTTTATTAACCCTCAGAAGTCCTACAGAGGCATCAATCACGTAAGTCTTTTACACAATGCTTTCACATTTGGCTTCATTTTGTATATTTTTCGTAACCTAAATGAGGACACTGTGCAATATTCATGAGTCGTTTAACTCCTTGTATTCACTTGATGATAAGCCCTGGTATGGACAAGATGATCACGTCAACTTCTCAGACGCTTTTATTAAATGCGGTCCTGTTAATTTTGTGAGCTGGAGTTCACAGTCAAGCTTTGAGGCATTTTCAATTATGATACCAAGGTTGCCATCTAGTGTTTGCAGATTGAGAACTGCATCCTTTGTGTTTTGAATGGAGCTGTGCTGAACAGCTGGACGGTTTCTGGCAAGAAATATATACATTCTGGTTGAATTTTTTTCCCCCATTGTTCCCGTTTTGAATAACATGCCTGTATGGCATGACGTAGGACAGACACAGGAAGTTTGAAAAATATGTTTATCCAGTTAAGTGAAACAATTATTCCACTATGTGCTACTTTCTTACTTTTAGGTAGGGTGTAATGTAAAGAAATCTGGGGACACATATAATTTAAACTTTGATAAAATAGGTCAAAAAGCTGAATGTCCTCATGTAAACTCTACATTCACTTTTTGTATAAAAACCAACAATTCTCTCTCCCATTTCTGCTTTTGCTAATGAACAACATTTTATTTTCATTAGCGCTACATGGAAACTGCTCCTCCCTAGAGCCAATGGAATAAGCTAAAAGCAATTCAAAGCCAGACATTTGTTTCCATTAAAACCCAAAAGATTACAACTCTACACTCTACAAAGTAAAAGTAGAGCATGGCTTGTCTACTCAGACGTTTATGTTTACATGTTCAGCTGCAAGTTTAATGCTTAGGAGAATAAAAGTCTGATATGATAAACTAGCTTTTATAAAAATATTCCTGGCTTTAAGCAAGTGAGGAGAAAAAGTCACAGTTCCATTAATAATTCATCATTCCTTATCGGTGATGTCAAGCCTGGTTCCTCACTGGAGACGCTTCTGCATACTTCTGCTGGATGGTATGCATTCCCCCTGTATGATGAGGTTTAATCTGACTCCAAAGCATTAAACAGAGCACATCCCACCCTTTCTGCTATATTACTGTTCCCTAGTTTAGTCCAGTCCAGAAGTACTCTTCATATATCAGCAAAAGAAACAACTCATTAGTTTGCCAAAAGCTGGAAAGAAGATTCCCAATGCTTTTGTAGTTTTTATATACCTTCATATAATGCAATATTTCTCAGTCTTCTGCCAAAAGTGTCAGAACAAATACACTTGATCGAAATGATAAGAAATAAATTACCTTCATTTGTTCTCCTGCCAAGTATGTATACCTACTTTATTAAAACTGTTGTTACATTTAATGCATGATAACATATAAAGAATAACAGTTATCTAAAAAGCAATTATGGATTAATTTGCTTCATAATGCATTATTTCAGAAAATCTTTGCTTACAGTTCAAAGTTTGGAGGATACACAGTAAACAATGGGAGTCACTCTGGAAAAGATCAGCGGACAGGTACTCTCCTTAATATCACAATCATTCGATGAGACATTTTGTTCCACACCAACATCATCCAATCAAATTACAGCAAAAACACCAGCGAAACCAATAAACAGGCAACTTAAGCTGAAGGTGGCTCCTCTAATAGCATTGGATAACATTGGTGAGGCCACTGTGATTGTGATTCCCGGCCTACAGAGATCACAGTTTGCACCACAGAAGAAGCAGGAGTCCGTGTTCCGAAAAGTCTCTGAGTTGTATGAGCTGGTTGCCTTCCTCGCTGAAAATAGCAGAACAAAATTACTTCATTAAGCTCATAGCTAAAGGTTTGAGATTCGGATACAATAAAAATATCTATTTAGATTGTACTCACTTGGTTCGTAGTAGTCATAAACCTGCACCATGGCTTCCTTCATACGGGTCACTTTGTGTCGTCTGACAAAAGCGAGCTGGATGCAAAACTCTGTCTTAGTGAGCTGGAAGTGATATCAGAAAAGATTAGTTAGTTTACAAATTTTCTTTAACTATTTCCAAAAATGATTTTGTTTTATCACTATATATTTTGAATATGCAGATAAACCATAACTGAGATTTGGTGTCAGATGCCAAGAGCAACGCTTATCTCATTACTGTGGAGGAGGGCAGCAATATTTGTTTTCCTATACATGTGTTGTGTGCATTAAAAACAGTAAACCTGGAAAATGTCAATGACATTGATATAGCGATAGACAACTGGGTCGCAACATCTGCAAAACTGGAGGTCTCGTTTTGTGTTCTTCGCTCATAAAACAAATTGTGCAAAATGGGCTGTTTATGAAGCGCAGAGGAGTGATGTGAGCCTTAGATTCACTAACAGGGGGGAGGATAAATACAGGACTGTGTGGTTGGATCTCACAGAAGGCCTACAACAGCACAAACTGCTAAAAAAAACTAAATCTGGCTTTAGAAATATATCAAAATGCACATTGCACTCTGGCTTGCAGAGTTTGGATGGAAACAGGATGCGCTATGGAAAGAAGGCAATCCAGCGGAGTCAATGTGAGGTTCTGGAAAATGCACTGCTGGTAAACCTTGGGCTCTTGGCTGTTCTTCAAAACAAATGCTGTGCCACCTTTCTTAGTGGTGTTGCAGACCATGTGTACCCCCACAGGAAATTCCTTGGCTTCACTGGGCTCTCATAAGCACAAAATGATCATGGAAATTACCAGTATGACAAGGACTTAAAGGTGGTCCCTCATGATTCCAGAGATCAAAAGCTCAGTGGGATTCGCTGTCCATTCATTACTCGTCAGCAATGACTCCATTTTTTTTTTAAGATTGAAAAATTGGGAAGGTTGCATTTAAGAACAGTTTTAGTGTCACAAATAATGGAGAGAGAGCAACAAACTCCCGGGTTGGTATGAGATTTTCTTGAATTTGGGGGTTTTAGGGGTCTATGTTGATCATTTTTAGTATAGACTATAAATAATAGTTTATATGGTATTACATTTTACTTTGTGCTCTGCCACTTCAGAGCCTACAGTATTTCAACCAGTGCTATTTTGACATTTTAAAACTCGCTTTAAAGCAGCTCCAGCACTTTGCATGCATATCTTTATTTATTGATTAATATAAGTTACAAATAGAGTATAAAGGTATGTTGAAAAAGATGAGACACTAAAGACATAGATTTTAAAAGTATTTTAGAAAATAACTGAGATAGTAAATATGGTTAAAGAAAAGAATAAGGTCCTCCTCAAATAATTTGGTCAAATTTTCCAACTGCACTTACAGAATCCAGGTAAAAGATGACTTTCTCAGGTGTACTCTCCACCTTCTTAATGACATCAGACTGGACAGCAGCTCCAGGCAGGAGAGAGAAACCACTCAGCATTCCCACATCCAGGACCACCATACCTGTCTGATCGATTGCCTGATTTTCCTTAATACTAAAGATTAAACAAAAAACAGCACGAGTCGACATCCATTCCAGAATAACCAAAAGATGCTAAATCAGCATATAAATACATTCTGACTAAAAAGTAAATCAGTATTATTTCAAGCTTAAAAAAATCCACTCTGCGGTTCTTACCTCGTACACACAGACAGCATCATGTGTATGTTGTCGCGGTTCTCAGAAAGATGAACATTTAAGAAGAACGCTTCCTCGTATGAGGCGTGCCCGAGGTTCTGTGAGAATGCTTTGCTCTCCACATTATAAAACACGTTCAGCTGAATGGAATCATAAGTTTGGTTAATTATGATGAGAATCTGCAGTTTTTTGCTGTCAATCTCATTGTTTGATGACGTGTTTCACCAAATTTGGGGACAATAATGCATTGCTGGTACTCAGGAGCTTTACATTACCTGGAATATGGCAAATCCTCTTCCTTCCATATATATATTTAGTGGTAAGTCTTCATCAGCATTAATCTATCAAAAAATAAAAGATAAATAGGTGATCTTAATGAGTCATTTCTAACTCTGTAGACATTTTAATGTGCAAGCCCACATGCAAAAAACACTTATCTAATCATAAGGAATAAGAAATAAGAACTTGTCTGCTACCTTTTGACTTTGATACATCCGGTAGTTGGTGGAGTTGATTTGAAAGAGGGATACAAAAGAGGACGAGGGAGCAGATATCTTAAACTTGAGCTCAATGGCATTAGCTCCGCTGAAAGCAGCATAGTAGGCCAGAGCTTGGAGAGCAACTACTGTGTCCTGCAGAAAACACATCAGTATTACATCACCGCTCATAATTTACAATTCTGCGCGGAATTGGAGGTTGAATTGCAAAATTGCAAACTTATTATAAGTTTTTTTTCATGGTCATTCCATTTCCCATTCTGCCGTTAAAAGCCTAAAAAATAAATAAAAAAAAACTTCTAGTCTCACCTGAGTTGTCCCAAAGCCCCCAAGATGGTTCCTCTGAGTACTTAACCACTTCATAAGAGAGATGCCTTCAATGAAGCTGCCTCGCTTAAACAGAGCCAGCAGCACATAAGAGGCCATTTCTATCTGTGCTGAACGAGGCTGCCCATCGTGTGATCTCACACCATCGGAGGACGTCCACATCATGACCCCGTCTTTAGAAGAATTAAAACACAGATTTAGTTAGCAAATCACACTGCCCACACATTTGCTCAGTTTCTTTCCTGCAATAAATCAGATACCAGTTGTTTTTGTCTTGGGCACTGTAATACTGCCATGATGAAATCAGTGAGGGATATCATACATGCTTGCATATGCATAAAAAATATATTTTACTTGCAATACTCCTGTGCTCCTGTTAACTAAAATAAGAAAAAAGGAAGAACAGGTTTTGACTAACCTCTGTTGTCAGCTCTCCTGCTGAGCTCAGCGAGCACTTCTCCAGCCGAAGGACGGTTTCCCAGAGCCAAAGCATACGCCGCCAAGCAAAGGCTGTAGTTACTGACTTTACCACTGGACACTTTGCTCTCAAGGTACCTCAGGGCCAGAGACACATTGTCTTCATACACTGTCTTCACACAGAAAAAAGAGAGAAAAGCTCATTAGGTGACTGGAAGAACTACAAAAGAACCTTAGATCGATTCCAAACTGAATACAGGTCTTTTTACTGGCACATGTATTCTGCTAACTCACTGCGTAGGTTTCATCCTCCAGAAAAGCCAGTAACACGTAAGCGGTGAGAGCCACTGAGCCTTCATCCAGAGCTGCCTGCATCTCGGTGTGGATCGGGCTGCCCTCCTCAACGAACTCGCCCTGGGGGGCCTGGCGTTTCAGGAGCCAACTCATGGCTCTGGTTAGGACAGTCTGGTTCACCTGCACGTAGGGCTGAGCCTGAGTGAAGCATCGCAGCACGAAGGCCGTCAGCCTAGTTCCAAATACATAGAGAGAAGAAGCGTCAGAGGCCAAAATGTTAAATCTACTCTTGGGATTTGAGACATGAAAGTCTGCAGCGTTTGCTAGCTACCATGTGCTCCCAGAGGTGTCGTTTGATCCAAAAGCACTGAAGGAGCCATCCTCTCGCTGGTAGGACAATTGATTTTGATATCCTAGAGTAGAAAACACAGCTTGTACATGTACTATAAAGTGATAATTGAAATAAGATTAAATACCTGAGCAAGATAAAAGAACCTTCCATTAAATTCTGGGGATGCTTATTCAGTATATGTTACATTGCATGAAGAGGTCAAAATAACTGTTATATGAAACGCTGCATAGACAATAGTCAGAAACTGAATGTAGCTCACCTTTCTCCAAGTATTCCAAAGCTTTGCTCCTGATATCTTTGTCATCCTGGGTTGACTTGTCCAGATACTGGAGAACGTAAACGCTTGGAGCAAAGTGCACCATGTTCTGCTCCCCACACCCGGTTGGCGTTAGGACCAGTGAATCCAGGTTGTTGATGGACGGAGCCAAAATATCGCCTGCAGAAAGCAGCACTTATCTTAAACTGGACAGATTTGGTCCTTAGCATCTCTAAAGAGCCAACATGGCAAAGCCATTAGCTAAAAAGTTTAAGCTTTTTCAAAGTTTTTTTTAAGTTTTACCCTCAAAACTCAAAAAGAAAATGCAAGTACATAGTAATAACTGATATAGGTTAAGACACGAGGATAGCAAACAGTCGACATACCACCCAGTGCCACATGTGCTCTCTGGCTGCCCGGTACCACATGTGGTGGAAAGGAGAAGGACGCCAACATGGAATTGCTGAGCTTCCCTGGTGCCAACTCCAGGAACTCAGTCTGAGAGACAGACTGTTCAACTCCTTCAGGCTACAGGAACATGGAAGCAGTTCACTGTTATCGCTGCAATAACCAAATATCCTGAACCAAGAGTTATTTCAGTGCATTTTAGGGATCATTAGACTTCTTCATCACAGGGATATTATCTCCTAACCTGAATCAGTTAAGTTTCCCCCATGGCATGAATTGATTTTATTTTCACATGTCGTACCTTCACCATGACTCTCTGAACAAGGCCATCCGAAGCTTCAGCAGATGCGGCATCCACCGATATTTCCATTTCACCCACAGCCAAACACCTTATTGGGAACAGGGCCGCGGCAGACATGTGACTCCTTATGGTGAGTTTCTGGGCATTTATGACCGATGTATCCCTTTTGCCCATCAATACAAACTCGAAAGCTTCACTCTGTGCTATCAACACAATGACCTACAGGGAGAGATGGATTGTGAGGAAAAAAGTAAAGGCCTTAAACCGTGAGATTTAAGGAAGAAAGAACTGATCAAAAAGCGGATCTATGACTGGAAAGGGAAACAGTTTTATTTCAACATCCACCGATGTTGTCTCTCATACCTCTATGTCCTGCTCTAAATAGTTATGGATGTTTACTTCCAGCACAATTTCCTCCCCTCTGACGAGATATGGAGGGAGATCAAGAGACAATGAAAAATCTTTGGATACAGCCAACTGTTAATGAGAGCACATGAGACCCACTTACAATAAAATAGAAAATGAAACAAGTGTCTGCTTTCAAAGCAAGCCATTTGAGAAACAAGTCCTTTGTAAAGTTTTTTTTACCTTTTCTGGCACTGCAGTGAAGCTCAATCCCTGGTTCTCAGACATGACCAGTGCCATAGCTTCCAAAGACATAACACCATCAGGCACTGTTATTTTTCCACTGGTCCACATCATATTGCTTAAAGATATGGAGAGAGACAAGCATGTTTTGATCTAAATGATTATGTAATTTGAACAGATATAGGCCGTTTAGAACACCCCACACTTGACAATTCTGTATGTGAAACTTTCAACTCTCACCTCACTGTGCTGTCCAACCACAGAAGGGGTACACCAGTTTCCATCCAGTGGCTCCAGTGCTTCTGCACAACCAGATAATGTCCGAGATCATCTGGAGGATTTTCACCTTGTGAGAGCCATCCCAAAAAGATTAAATTAGGTTGGATTTACATCCGACATATGAAGATATCTTAAAATGTTTGGATGGAGACAATGTTCTAAAAGAAGACTACAGGGACTTTCAAACAGAGAGCAAACTTTACCATTTTTAGATCCATCTTTCTGATTTTTCTCATTCAACCCTGCATTGGTCAGTATTTTAAGTTTACAGTCCTGCATTGAGAAAAAAAACAGTTTCATTGTACCATGTCTTTCGATAAGAAGAAGCAGAGATCAACTGTAAGATAATGCTTTGCTGAAACGCCCATGAAAAAGAGGTCAGGTGATGTAACTGGTAAAAAAGTCTGCTTTTTGTCTTTGTCTCTTCCTTTTACAGTCATCATAACCCTCAGGTCCTGCAATCAAAGTTCTAACGTTACCAGCGCACAGAGAAAGAAGCCACCTCCAAACAAAGAGGGCAGATATGTTACATCCCGAGCAGCCGGATTCAGTGGCCGTGCTTTGAACGCTCACATTATCTTTCTGTGAAAACAGCGCAAAGGGATCAAGATGACTTGAGAGATTTTGCTGTTATGAAAGCAACAGAAGGCACGTGAAGTGTATCAGACAGCCTCTGAACAGGTTACTCTGTGATAAATGCCAATATTAGCTTCTATTCCAGAGCTTTTTCCCCCCACTTTTTGTTTCTATCATAAACAATTTATATCCGAGGCCTATGTGTCACTTTAGGATCCAGTTTGAACTATTAAACTAAACCACGCAAACAAGTGTTGATCTTAACCCTTTAAAGCCTAATCTAAGAAAAATAGGAAGATTATTGGATTTGTTTTAGTCTGAAGTCTTTCTTTGGCCCCTTAACAAAATATGAAGAAAAAAAATAGAAATTATTTAGATCAAATAAGCGTACAATAAGTCAAAAATATATTTATATATATATATATATTCTACTGGCTGTTATCAGGTTTATCTGAATGTGTTCAATAGGGGTTTGAGCAAAGCTTTCACCATTGAATGATGCAAAAAGTCTCAGATCCAAAAGACTTCAGAAACCGCATGTATCAAATATGATACATATGGCATTATAGGGTTAAGGACGAGTTTGTATGCATAGAATTGTCATACCTGCTGCACTTTAAAGTCCAGACCAGACTGGGGGCCATCACTATGTGTCCCCATTATCATGACTCCAGCTTGATACCGGGATTCATGAGCAGACACAGTGAGTGACACCTGCTCACCAGGCTGGGCCCCCTCACTGCTCCATTTTAGAGTTACCTGACAAAAGCAATCACACAAACTATCACCAGAATACCCAGCGTGATCACTGCACGAAACTGTTTGATAAATGTAAAAAGATTCACGATCATAAAACAACAAGCATCCATACGTGGTTTGGCTGATGGATAGGCATCACTGCCGTGTCACTGGTAACCTCCCCATTAGAAAGGATGCAATAAACAGTCACACAGGCCTCTGGGGACCAGGACAACGTTGGGGTCAGAGAGAAAGAGGTGGAGTTTCTCGTTCCAGCAGCAACGATTTGACCTTTAGAGCTTACCTAGGAATATAAGGATATGGAGAGGATTAACGGCTTTTGCATGAAAAACAACAATAGAAAGATAATGAAAGTTTTGAAAATGATCCCTTCTAAAAAGTTTTCTCTCTTTCAGGACTATGTTTCAGCACCACATGGCAATGCTTTGATTGGAATCAGTAAAAAAACTATTTTTCTAATTGTCTGCTTGTTTGACTCAGGGGGAGAAGCAGGATACACCCTGGACAGATCTGTACAAAACCAGGTTTTTCCAAACAGTAACAAACATATTAAGTGGTTTTGAATATATTGTTCATGCATACATACACATCTCAGACCAACTTACACTAAAAAGTATTCATCTGTAAAATACATTGAAAGTGCGTCTGCGTTAGTGTTTCATTGGCTATCACAGGTCACATTTTGCCTTACTTTCCAAAAACATTGTGAACATTTATATGACCATTTCTTCTCCTCAATAAAAAACACTCCCTCTCTCTGTTATGCGCACAGTATTTCATTATTGTGGAATAACACATTTAGTTTTGTCATGCATTAATGCATTAATGCATTAATGTCAGGTACTATACCACAAAGTGAAGCATCATTGGTTTAAAGGTGCTTTCCACATGGAGTTGGAGGGGCAAACCAATCTGAAAGTTAAATAATTGATCTGTATTATGCTGGTTTTGTATAAAAACTTCAGTGGTACAAAATGTGTGCATAGAGCTACCTGAGCTGGTGATTCGTTGACTGGGGAAAGTTGAATATAGGAACCACTAGGAGATGAGTAGTTGTTGAAGACCTTCAGTGTCTCCTCACTTGACTGGAATCTGACCTAAATTTACAAGCAACATTAAGAAAAATATAAACGATTGACTACAATATTAAGTTGAAGCTCCTTAAATGAAAAATTAGGGGATACTTCCACTTCAGATTACCACATAAACATTTTCAATTTAACATTAATGCGTAATTAATGTGTAATAAGACTGTATCAAAACTCCTCTAACATGTGAGATAGCTGAATAGTGCATAACTCAGGAACAGTGACTCTGTATACTCACTCGAACAAAAAGCATCAGTACTTGATCCTGTAACTGAAACTTAATGTGGACGGTCCCATCCTCAGGCACAGGAAGAGTAAGAATTGTAGGATCTGTATCATTTGAAGAGGCACTCTGAGTGACTTCAACAACTACAGAATGCATTAGGTCCGACGAGCTGAGTGGCTTTCTGTCGTATCTTGTGATCTTAAGCTGTTGAATACAAACAAGGACAGGTCATCTCACGGAATAATAGTTGAACCTGTCTTTAAAACAAAGGTAGCTATAGGGATAATTCACTCACTTTTGCATGGAAGTGTAAAGATGGCTTTAGTGACAGTGGGTAATCGAGGAAAATAAGCTGATGTGTGTTCTGCATGACGTGGACGTCAGCAGTTTTGTTGACTTTAAATCCTTAAGAGACAAACAACACTGTGCGGTTTAGCATTGTGAGTGAAATACATTTGACCGATCGTTCAAAAGTAGATTAAGACTGATCGTACCTGTGGAGGTGTCAGTGACACAGGCAGAAATCTGGACAACATGACCAGTGCTGTGAATAGCTGATGAAGAAAATAAATGCTGAAGCTTATCTTTGCTGAAGACAAACTGAGTGGACCCATAGATCTGAAAGAGATTCAGAGACTATATTAAATATCTCGTTGAGTGTCAGCCTAAATGCATTCTGTTTTGCTGTGTGATGAATAGATGAGAATCACAGACACTAAAAACTCACCTCTTTAGTTTGCTTTAGCATGAACAAAGGGCCTCCGCTGTTGGCATCAGCCTTCAAAGTAACATTGACATCTAATTTTCCATGCACAGGTTGTCCACTGAGGGAACTAGAGGACAAAACACACTGATGAGGTGATATTCTATATTAATTAAGATATCGTCCAAGTGTAAAATACCATGAACAGAACTCACAGAGCTCTCACTGATCCCGAGATGTTATCTTCAATGAGCACATGTGAAGATGTTTTTACCAGTACTTCAAATTGAGGATGATCTGAAAAGGAGGTGGTAAATTTTAGAGGAAAAATAGATTTATGCCTTCTTCGATATCTCTGTTTAGTTAATCCTATTTTGTCATTAAAAATACATCATGACACAGAACACTGTGGAGGTGTAGGCTTTCTGCAGAAACCAGAGTGAGTTCACAGGTCTACAGACTTTAAGATAAAATGTCAGGGTGCAGCCAGCTAGAGCACGTTATAATATTGAACCGAATGCTTTGTCTAAAGGATTTTCTGACTCTTCAGTAAAAAAATAAACGAAACAAAAGTGAGAGAATCGTCCTTTAAAACAATGAAGTCAGGAAACTGAGTGATCTACTGAAAACCTTATTTCATTGTCTCATCCCGCTGACATGTCTAATTTATGGTTCAGTTATTTTTAGTCTGTTTTTCCATTTTGAAAGTAATACGCTTTCTTTTATCTGCTTTTCAGTTACACCTCAGGCTGTTTTGAATCCTACTTGCTTAAACTATATTTGCAGCTGTTTCTGTCTTGGTCTTGGTCAGTAAGCTAAATATATTCATGTGTCACAATTTCAACTCCATTACCATGGAAACCTTGTTATGGCTTTTAACTATTCTTGGACCTTCTTCTTTGTGGTTTGACAAACTAAAACTGGTCGGTTCAGAGACTCAGGGACCAATAGATCCTGGCCTGCTCCCATTAGGCCCAATATTAGGCCCCTATACCTTAATCTAAGCTTGTACAAGGAATATTAATGTGATGGATCCTCTCTGGACCATGAATCCTCCAAAATAATTAAAAATAGATGAAAATATAACAATAAATAGCTAGAGATGTTACCATTTTTCTCCACAATGAATGCTTTTTCATCAGACACACCCTATAAAGAGGAAGGTAGAAGAAAAAAAAAGATATTTCTTATTCAATTTAAGTAGCAACCTTAAAAAAAACACAAACACTTTTTCAATTTTGAACCTTACATTCACAGAAGTTGTGATCTCCCACTGCCCAAGAGGAGAAATCTGTGATAAAGTGAATTCTTCCAAGATAATCCCCAGATTCCCTGTGGACTTCCACCTGTCAACAACGTTCCCACTGGGATCCTGTGTGACAAAGGAACAAAACACCTCCATTCAGACAATAGCTGAGGAAATATCTGTTGATGCGCTCTGACTTTGTTCTCACATACACAAAGCAGAAACGTACCCGTAGAGAAATGTCCACTTTTCCTTTGAATGGATGGTTATCCAGCTGCACGCAAACCACTCGGATTTTGACGGTGTCTCCCGGTTTATAGTGCAATTTGTCGGTAAGAATGAACGAGGAAACGTTCCTGAGGCTGAAGGAGAGGGTGGTGGTGTTGGTAAAAATGAGACTGTCTTCCTTATAGCCCCTCACCGTCAAGTTTAAGAGAGAATTTGGGGATATCGAGCCAGGAATCTGGAGAGAAGCATTTTACATTTTATGTCATATTTACTCTGGAAAATTTTCTAAGAGTTATTCTTTCACTTGTCATAATGTCACTGTCATAATTCTTTAATTGTACAAAGATGATAGAAAATGTAAAGAAGTGTATAAACTCACAGGAGGTAGTGTAAGCAAACTGGTCAAACCTAAAAAAAAGAAATATGTTTTAACTATCTTCAAAGTCAAAACGCCATCAATAAGTCAAGACTAAATAAATCTCAGAAATTGTTATGTTACCTCCTTGGAAGTCGGCCGTTTGGGATGACTTGGTGTTCCCATGTGCCACTTCGGCCGTCACCCAGCCAGAAAAGTCAGAAAAAACAGTGATGGCCAGTGGAATTTCCGCACCAGCACGGACCACCTCCGGCCCTGAGATCAGAAACCGCGTGGTACTGGACCAAAGCCGGGAGAGCTGTTATTCATTACGCTTTACACTTACACGAATGAAATTATTTTTTCCAGGTTAACACGAAAGAAAGTGACTCCAAAAACAGAGCACTGACCACAGATGCCACCACTTACTCTGATGAAGCCGGTGCTGAAAGAGAGACGGCTAAAAACACGACTACTGTCCGGATGCTGTCCATGTTGTCCAGCGATATGTCCAGTCACACATCCAGCTTCACTTTCAGACTGCGTCTGGATCACCTTAACTCCACCTCCTGTCCCCACAGAGGTGCTCAAAAGGCCTCACTCACACGCTTATACCAGGATGTACATTTTCACACATCGATTCTTTGTTGTGGATGACATGAAGGAGATGCTCTCACATTGCTCTGGCCTTTTTCCCAGGGGGGACGAGTCTCATCTGTCTATTCAGAGAGAGATGCAACAAAACCCTCTGGGAGCTGAGTTTGTTCTTTATTTTCTTAAATAGATGTTGACTTTCAATCTCCACATAGCAAACAATTGAATACACATGAAAGAGCCCTCCTCGAAGAACATCAACACAATATTAACAGGGTTCAGTGATGTGGTAAACAGGCTTGACATTTCTATTTCCTTGTGACAACAAAAGATTACAGGTCAGCACCCATGTGGTTTGTCTCAACACTGAATTATGAGAATAATCAGGCACCGAATTACATTTGTCCATAAAACGCATCTGAGATGGGTGAAAAACGAGCTCTTGTAATCGTTTTCTACTGAATCAATGGGACAGAAAAAAGGAGCATTTTATAGGCTATAAGCTTACACTATGGGTCCAGAATGAACCAGGATCTAACCACTTTGTGGATTTAATCTCAATGGAGCATGATGATCTATCATTGCGTCATTACCAGCAGGGGGCAGTAAAGTCAAAGCTAAAATAGCTTTTGAGACAACCTCCTCCCAGTTCCAGCTCAACAAACAAAAGGGCAGAGAAAACTTCACAGAGGCCCATAAATGGACGTTCATGCCTATTCTTTTCTTTGCTCCAGCTGTTAAGTATTAAAATCGCACGGTTACACAACGCTCAGCGACCTTTCAACAGTTTATTGCTTTGGCATTATGGTTTCACACTTGTTACATCGAAACATGTTCTGTCATGGAAGTCATATTCATCCAAAATTTGGCATGAACTTTGGCAACAAACACAGCTTTAAACGTGTCTTAACAGTACCACGTTGCGCATCTGTGAGGATGCAGGTTGGAGGACAGATGATGTTAAAACCGGATACGCATACCTGTTTAGGCTTGAATATGCCACTGCAATCTTGCTGTTTACAACTACACATATCTAGCACAATTGTGATAACATGAAGGCACCTTTAAAAACCCCGTGAGTGCGTTCTCTGTCAGAAAACGCGATCTCATTAACTTGATCTTGGATAAGTCATCACTTGTTTCTGACCACCCCGCAGCTTCGCTTTTGTTGAGCCGCTAAAGAACACAGCAGTTCTGTGACATTTGTTTTGTCCACTGTTACACACTGACTCTCACAAAGTGCTGACAAAAGTGCAGAATAACAGAGTGCTTATAGATCCAGATAGAACGTTCCTTTGAAAGGAACACACATGAAAGCAAATACAAAACATGAAGCAGTTGGAAAACTGCTAACAGATTTTCAGGAATTACAGTACTTTCTGCCTGTGAAGTACCAGTGTGGAGACATCTACAGCAACATAACATCTTCCTACAACTTACAGCTGTAAATGTAACCTTTCTAAAAAAGACACGGCTGTGCTGCCTTCTTTCTCTCAGCCTTGGTTATGCAGGCATGTGCATGCAGTGCACTTACCCTCATTTTATTACATGAGCAACCTTCCCTTAAGTCACATAAAAAATAAATGGAAATGGCCATAGTGTGCACAGCTGAAGATTGTCTTAGTCTGTATATTATGGTTTTGCAGGCTTTTAGCCATTGTTTACTGCACTTTCAAAAGACTTCCAGTCTTTAACATCAAGCCAAAAAAGTTACAAACTGCAGCTTTAAATGTCATTTAGCTCCAACAACAGTAGTGTTGAAGGAACTATTTTTGCAAATGGTTGTATTTTCCTCGCATGGGTCTTTTAGTATCCACTCTGGAGTTATTTGTCCATAGCCCCAGCAGTCACATCTCAAAGTGACGGTACACGCTCTCCACATAGCTCAGGACCCTCTGCCAGTCGGGACCGCCCGCCCTCAGCATCTCCTCTAAAGTCTGTTCAAAAAGAGTTTCCAAATGAATGAGGTTCAAATAAACCCTGCGTACCTTATGCGTGTCATAAAGAAGGAAATCTCACCAAAGATTGTGCAATTCCTACAGTCTCTCCTGTTTTGAATGCCAGACTGAGATTATCTCTCTACAAAAAAAACAAAAACAGAATGAAGAATGCCATAATTCACATTTTGCTACGCATTAAACAGTCTGCGTGCGCAGTTCTTACCTTGTTCTCTGGACTGAGGGTGCTGTAAGGGATGTGAGAGGGGAGGTAGGTGTGATACACGGCACAGAATGCCAGACCATCAGCCCAGCTGCTGCTGAAGTTGGTAATGTCAATATTCTGCACAAAGAGGAAAACGTTGTGCTAAAGAAACATACTCATTTCGTGAATTTTGGACCATGTTTAAATGTGATGGCTATGCCATCAGAGTGAGTTCTGCATAAGGCAAAGCACACAACGGGCTAACAGGGTTCAGAATCACCTTGTAGCCCTGGGTTCGGCTCTGACACCAGCGGAGCAGCGAGTTTCTCTTTGAGCCTCCATGGCGACGCAGCAGCAGATTGAAACCATCCTGGGACCTGACAACGTGGGGAAAACAAAGTTTGAATTACAAGCTGGCCTTTTGCAATGCAAGGTTTGCACACTGATTGCTGAAGGAGAGGCTCTCAATAAGACGGTTTCAACAGACAGTTTGATTAAACTAAGTTGAAAGACTTTTAAAGGATTTCAGTGCCAGGTTTGGGCTCAATAACAGTGATGAGTGTGTGTCTGTGTGTGTATGTATGTGTGTGTGTGTATGGACTCACTTTGTGGTTGGCAACTCAGTAAGGGCAGAGTTGTACTTGTTTAAAGATTCCTCACGTCTTCCTGGAAAGGTAATAAGGGAATACTATGAGCTAATTCCAAGCCATATAATCGGTTAATTATTTCATTTATCAATGAATTATTAATTTTTCAAATGTTGGTTATTATGAGTCCTTTTCCCAAGGTACTGATTGAATTTAATTAAAAAAAAACAAAGGACTAGGTCATAGCATTTTGACATTTTTACTGTAAGTAATTCAATACAATACTTTGTCATTACTACAGATTGTAATTAATTACATAGCTGACATTTAATCCTTTGATTAAATTGACCATTTCTGCTCTAAACTGCCAGCAAAAAAACTTGCTAGTTTCCAGTTTCAACTCAAATACTAATCACACCAACAAGCACGCTTGAAGCAACACTGAATTATGAATGAATATAATTATACTTAAGTAGAGTAACATGGATTGAATTAAGTTTAATTGAATTGTAGCGAAGAAGCTTATTTGTAAAGTGTTAGAATTGAACTTGTTTGCTTTCTTTTTATAGCTTGCCTCAGACCGGTCTTTCCCAAAGCCAGAACCTGAGGCTTATGATCACAGGTGAGGGTGGTTGAACAACCATAAAGTATTATAGAAAACATCTAAGGCAGCCACAAATATAAAGAGGTCTCATAAGAAAATGGCCACCATGAACTGGACACTAAGATATCAGTGACAACCAAGTGTCTACAAAGAGTAAGGCGGGTCCTGAAGAGTCTGCTGAATGGGGATGATAAATTCATCAAATTGCAACCCTTGCCAGTCCAATGAAGAGACAGAAGCCAATGATGTAAAAACAACAACATTCTTCACATTGCATTGAGAGTTTCAGTCCAACTGCAGCACCCTGAGGCTGTGCAATGGGCAGAAGGAATGAAGCTAGCCACAACAACAGGCACATCAAGAAGACGGCCCCGTGATCAGCTTCAAAGTGAGCAATAAGACAACTGAAATTTAGGGAATGGTAGGAGAAACCATTATAGAAAAAGACTAAGACAGTCCAGCACATAGTGAGAATGTGTAAGGTGCAGGATGGTAGGGCTTGCAGGGGATGTAAAATGGCCTAAATTAAAAACTGAACAGGAGAAAGTTGAAAAGATCATTTTTTGTTATGTTACCAGAACTACTTTTTGCTGTCTAACTAATACCCTTAATACATTTCAATCTGCATAAATTATTTCTACAGACTAAATGACAGTTATTTCCATTACTTCTTCATGCATTATTTTCAGCCCACAAACATAGAGTGGAGTCCACCATGTTTTTTTTAAAAAGGCTCCAGCTATACTGCAGATACGATATAAGTATGATCATTTTGAAGAGACATTGACCTGTTTCATTGGTCGTTTTGCTGTCTTGACAATCCAGACTCCTTCGTCCTCTCAATTGTCCTGAATTCTTAAAAACAAATAAAGTAATCAATGGAATGGTGCCACAAAAAACTGAATTGATGACATACGTACACAAACTAAAATCAACGACCTGCGGAATCCTGTATCCTCATAGGAAAGTGTCTAACCTTGTTTGTGGGCCCAAAAGTGGAAGCAGAGTTGGACTGGGATGTCCCGTTTTGCATGGTAAGGGAGTCTGAGGAGGCAGGTAATCTGGACAGGCTTCTGCAACACAGTAAAAGAAACAGATCAGAAAAAAATGCTGATTCCGTCTGGGACATTAGTTTCACTTGAGTCTAGCTACTCGAACTGTCCTCAGATAGCCCAGTGTAGCTCTTTGGGTTGAGAGCAACACATTCAAAAGAAGCCACAACCACAGTCTTAACCAAACATGGTAATTGTTATCCATCTTTGCATGCCAGAGAAAAGAAATGTGGAAGGAAAAAGGGTTTGTTTTTCAAAAACTGTCACAGTAAGGCCCTCAGCAAACGCGAAGCAATGTGCTTCAGTGACCTGCTGCCGGAAAATCAATTCCTGTGTAACGAGCTCCCACTATTTATCTCACCTTGACCTTTCTGTAGTTATCATCCTCCGTGTCTCACTGGACCGCGCATCTGCTCCATCTCTGTCCTCATTAGTCACGTTTCTCAGGTAACGCTTGGCCACACCTTTACAGAGCATTCCATCCTCACTGACAACACTCTTAATCACTTCAGTCTGATTCTTACTTTCCACTTCTTTTCCTCCCAACCTGTGAACCCCCCTTTCTCTGCCCCTCTCTGTTCCCTCTTTCCTCTCAGTCTTGTTGGACTCTGAAACGGGCCTCTCAGGCTCCTGACAGGGAGCCTGGGTTTGGTCTTTGGCCTGGCTGAGAGCAGCCAGCCTTTGCCTGCTCTCCTTCAGCTCTCTTTGGAGGGTGGCCAGTCGCACATCGGCGTCCCTCTGTCTCTGCTGGGCGGCGGCCAGCTCCCTCTCCATGTCTTTGTGGGCCGCTCTGAGCGCCGTCAGTTCTTCGTCTGCCTCGGCCCTCAGCCGGTCTGCCACTGACACCGCCACCTGGAGGTCTGCCTGGAACTGCAGCCATTCCTCCTTTTCAGTCTGAGGAGGAAACAAGTGGGTGTTTTTCATTTGTACTAAAGGCACAAAAGACAAAAGAGCTTTGTAACTCCGATACAGAAATGAGAAGGTGTGGGAGTTAATTCACGGAAGATCATATCTTTAGTCAATCTCTGCACTTCTCTGCGGCTCTGCATCGAAGCTATTACGAAACCTGGAACTTTGCTCTCTCCACAAAACACTCGGTGACTTATCACATTGTGTAATAAAATTTTACACAATGCACCGGTTTGTATTCACTAGTGTATTTTCTTTATCAAAATCTGCCTAAAAAAATAATTTATTAACCAGTTGTAAAGCCTTTTTGCTGTTAGTGGAGATGTAATAGAGCAAAGTTAAGCCATCAACAAAATGTTTAAAAGCCCTCAAATACCAGACTACCAATTATTTGCAAGTTAGCCAAACAGAAAAGACAGAAATTCTGGTACGATGCAAAAATACCGAGGGCTTCACCTGGTGCTGACGGACAAAATCAACATTTAACTATAAAATAAACATCTGTTGCCAATGTTCGAATATTTTGCAAAGCCACTGACCTATGATTCATTGCCACCCAAAATAAACCAGCATTGTGCTTAGCCTTAAAAGTTCATTTTCTTTAGATAGTTCCATAAACTAACTAAGTAACCTGTCAGCTGAAAACCATCCCTGCACGCCATTCAGAGTGTACCGAAAAAGATGAGAGGAACAAAAGGAGGAGATGAGAAGTGGAAGGCTCTATCAACTATCTCCAGCAAAACAGTATCTTAAAAGAAAGAAATTTGAAACAAGAGCAGACACAGGAAGAGAGAGACATTTTTTTTAAGAGCCGTCAAGCTCCTAATAAAAGGAAACAGTGAGAAAATACTCAGGTGTGCCAAATTACAGAAGACCTAGGCTAAAAATGAATGGCAACAGGTTTTAATGAGCAATTAATCCTTCTCACAGCTTGGATCTCAACATTATTGAAGCAGCACTTGATCATTTTCACCGAGAGCAAAACAAAAGTCAGCCAACATCCAAAGAAGAGCTTTGAAATATCCTTAAAGAAGACCGGGGAACTATTTTTGAAGTGTACACAAAGAAATGTCAGAAAGCATGTCTTTGGGGGTTCAGGAATAAAGGTGTTCATAACAAATATTGACTTTCAACTCTACAGACACATACTTTGCATCATATACTTCCACTTATGTCTGCACATGTTGCAATAAATCCTTACACACGTCTCCTGCTTTCTTGGAACTATATTCGCAATGAAAGGCATCGCACTGTTTATGCGCAGTACTGTAATTTCAACAAAAATGTTTCAGATATTAACTGTGACTGGAATATTTAAACTGGAGTGGAAAGCTAGAGGCAAATGCAGCTGCCCTTTCAGACAAGGAATCATCTCCCCAGCTGCTGCATTTAGCCAATACAGAGCATGGGTCACTTCTAATGAGGCCTACCTGGAATGGTAGCTGAATCACCGGCCTAACGTGTACTTTTTCACTTTACTTGCTTTACTTTCTGTTTGGTTTTAGGGGAGAAAAAAGTCTGAGATTGCATTGCAAGAGCTTCTCCGATAGCTTCTCGTCACTTTTTGTAACCGAGCCGCACGGCTGCCTCTCAAAACAAGCTCCGTTTTTATACCTTTGAGGATGAGTGAAAAAGTTTCCACTTTTCCTTCTGTCAGTACAGTCACCTCAGACGTGTCCCAGCGTTAGCCCCGAGACATCAAAAGAGGCGATCAAAAGCAACAGGCCCCGAGCCGAGTGACAACAGACTTACGAAATATTAAGCAACCCTTATCGTAACAAGAGAAGAGAAAAACTGACAAGGGGGAGCAGAATAAAAGTGGTTTGAGTCAAAACGCTGGTAAAGCGAGAGAAGCTCTATGGGCCCGACAACTGTGATAGAGTGCTGGGAGTGGAGGGGTTGGGAAGGTTTGTAATTAGATGAAGAATGGATGGAGATGTGGAGGAGGAGGCCATGTCTGCGCCAAGTCGCTCTCTCATCTGACCGGTGACTCAAGACCACAGCTGGACCTGATTACGCTGGATTCATGTGCACACACACACAAAGACTCACACACACATCATATCATATTCCTTTCCTCTCTCCCACACACACACACCCCCACACCCTCCTGTTAGTTTTTTTGGGCCGCGCCGAACCACACACTTTGCCTGACAACACGGAATGAACAACAAAATGGAGATTCCTGTTCGGAGTTCAGAGTCTGTCGTCTATATTGAGCTATCTTTAAAGAACCACTTTGCCTTGACAGATGTTGTCTTCACAGAGTCGCTCTTATCTGAACGTGGACACTCCAACTGGAGCGTGTCTGCTTAAGGAAACAGGAAGGGGCGCTCCTCGGTTTAGAGCGAGATAAGGGTGTGGATTGTCTGTTTTTTTACACACACACACTCTCACTACGTCCCTAAAGACTTGAACTTGTGGCCCACAGCAGGGCCAGATGTGGTGTCCAGCCACGACAGGCACAAACACACACACACACTTTTCTCTGCTCTTCATGCACATCTGAAATCCTGACTATTCCTGAGGAGGGCTCAAGCAAATTCTGAAATACTTTGCTTAAATTTGTATGAGCGTGTGTATGTGGGTGTAAATCTGTTCCAACAATCTGTCCCTAGTTCACCCCCACACCCAAAATTTATAATACATACTTGGGGAATTGTCCCAATGCTGTAATGGCTCTTCTCGTTAGTGTTCCAGTCCGTTCTGTGTACACTCCAAGAGTCTGAACACACCTCGGTGCCTTTTAAAAGACATTTCATTCACCAGCAGACACACAGTTGTAGTAATCAAAATGACCAAATTACTGTGAAATGATGCACATAAAAGAACTTAGGATAGCCTGAAAGTTGCAGTCTATGAAGATATACAGTTAGATTATCAAGAAACTATCTCTGTAAATGAAACCTAACACCACATGCACACACCCAGCCTTCAATCCTCCCCTGACACACTAAATCTCCACTCTATATGTGATCAGCTTGCGTGACCCAAAGACACAGGCCTTTTTTTAAGCCTGGCTCGTAGTATCAGCCAAGCAAGGACAAAAGACAGCTAAGTGAACCTGGAGATCATTCCTGAAAATCTCTGACAGCATTCACCTGGAACTGATTCCAAAGCTTTGCTTTGAGACTGGAGGGAACACGAATCTGACCAGTGAACCACACACCCAGCTAGCCCTCCATGACTGGAATGTTTTCATTTTTTTTTTTTTTTTAGCTAAGACAATTGAACATTGGCTGGGCACATAAGCTCTGACAGATGGTGCATTGAAGTTAAAATGCATAACTGAATACAGGAAGAAAGGAGCATTTGGTTAAGCAGCAATGAAGAAAGCATGTCGGAGGGGCTTAGATGTAAGAAAGTGAACGGAAGAATGATAGCAACTTAAATTACATAGAAGAAAAGGTCAAGCAAAGGGGTCCGACTAACAGAAAAAATGTCTCGAGCAAGCTGGACTCAGATGAAAGGATGAACAGAAATGGAAGAAGTAAGCAGCTCCAGAGAAAATGAGACTACAGAGGGGAAAACGGAAGGAATGAGACAGAGGGTGGTACAGCAGCACAAGATATTGGGTAATTATTTCAGCTCTTGTGCTAAGATAAGAGCAGAGCGAGGCTTTTGATTGCATCTGAATAAGTTTTTGCTCTTCCCTCTCATGTGCGTGGTGCTAAAAACACATGGTTAATGAATTAAGCTGCAGCCGTCAGCCTCCTCTTCCTCACATAGCACATAACAAAACATGTTTTGTGTCCCGAGCAGCCGAATGTGAACCCCCTCCTCCGTGCTGCGATTCCATTCTCTATCGACCGCAGCGCAGACAGAGAGGGTTCTCAAAGCCGAGCTGGGCTAGCTCATATCACCCTTCTGTGGGCCCATGTAAACACCGAATGAGGTTGCCCCGCATTTCCATAGCACAGCTCTGGAGCTCAGTCTGTCTGAGGTCAGCTGACCTGTGCGGGCATTAGATTTCATTACTAACGATGTGAGACACTTTACAGGAGGTCGAAGAAAGAAGAAAGAGACTCAGAATAAAGCTGACATCACAGGGCAGAGGAGGTAGAATTCACGACGATCATGTACATTAGATTAGCTCTATTTTAGTTCAACCTAAAAAAAAATCAACAGATGTGAAAGAGACGCAGCGGGTCGTATTCCAGCTGTTGTAATCTGTGGCAGGTCTAAAGGAAGTGGGGAGCCTCTGGCTACAATCATAAGGGAGGGTTAGGAATTGGAACAGGCAACTGACAGGAAATTACCAGAGACTATCCCCCTCATAAGAGCATGGAACGGCTGAGTAACAAGACGAAAGAATCCTTTGAGAATATTATTTCATTTTTTTAAGGTTAAGGCTTTTCAACTTGGGGTCATTTCCAAAAAATATAAGTCCAAGGATGAAATGGGACTTTCTAGTTAAATTTTGGACATTTTTTCACTCGATATGTGCTCCACTAAAGCAAAAACACTATCTTACAGAAGATGATCTCAATGATTTTCCTTTTTTTGGCCTCTCAAGAGTAGCAGGGACAGGAAGAACTTTAATTAACAAAGCTGCAGCTCCCACAGGAAGCAAAGCCGAGCCTATTCCAAGGTCTATTGTGACAGAATGTGTGTGTTGGTGTTATCTCTTGGCTGAGAGTTCATAGGCATCATGCTGCCTTCCTGTTCGCATAAATATTTACTCTATCTAACGTGTTGTGAAATAAATTTTCATTTTGTTGGCTTTTCCATTACATGAAAATCAGACCACCATATTAAGCATCTATTTTTTGGGAGAAAAACACAACAAATTGCATTCAATTCAGGCTCAACGGTCAATTCAGCCCTGATTTGAACATTCAAAATACTTTTCTCCATAGAAAAGACTTAAGGAAGGTCATCATTGTCTGTATTACGACTAAATGAGAAGACAGGATTCGGTAAAGAAAGCCATCGAGCACATCTCACCTGAAAATTACTCTTTAAACTCTTCACTTCTGTCAGGAAAAGCTTCAGAATCTCTGAGGGAGGGATAAAGAAGTGCCAGAAAAGATCCCATTAAGCACAGAAAATGACAAAGACATGACAAAAAGAGGACTAAGAGTACGGTTAAAACGAATTGCAGCCTTGCCTGTTGTGTTTATTTTCTTGTCTTGACTGGCAGGGATGCCAAGTGTTGTCTTACACTCGTCCAACAGCTCCACTAGATCCCCGTCCTGGCCATCCCGTTCTTCACGACCCAGAGATGGACTCAGACCACTGTTTCTTTCCTTACAGGTCTGCCCCAGAGTGCTGGTGGGAGATGAGGAACCAAACAACGTGGAGGGACTCTTAATCGGACTGACAGTCCCACTCTTGACCTGGGGAACTGAAGTTCTTGGAGGAATGGTGACGGGACTCCCATTTTTCGCTAGAGAAGCTTCTCCTCTGCCTGCCAAAGTACTTCCTGTCTTCTTGTGAAGCAAGCTAACTCCGGGACCAGTTGGGGAGCTGGTCGAGCTTACTGGTGGAGGAGGCCTCCAGTCCGGGGGGGGGATGGGAGTGCTGGGTGTGACTGGGGTGTTCTGCTGTGGTTTCTTCCCGCTGGAGGTGACGAATGGTAATGAAGATGAGGATGAAGCTGGGACTGCTGGGGAAGGATGAAGTTTGGGATCACTGGGAACTAAACCAGACCCATCACTCTGTGGAGAAGAAGGCGGAGTGTGGAAACTCTCCCCGTAGGCTGCTGGGAAAAAAAGAAAATAAACACATACTAGTTTTTAGGTAGGTCTAGTTTTTTAAAGATATTTTGTGCTGGGAGTTACAATTATTTTGCATTTTCCCAACAAGATTGGGATAATGTTTTTTAGCAGTAATCTTGCAATTTGCCATTTTTTCCCAATCGGGGGACTTTCAGGAAGAGGGACTTAAACGAAGCATCCCATAAAGAAAGTGACAATATGTGCTGCAACAATGAAAAGGACACATTAGGTAAGGTAAACCTCCTCTGGCAAAATTATTCATGCGAAATTACTAAATATATTTGATCATATAAACTTTCAAATGTTCAAGTTAGCAGAGATGCTACTCAATCAGCTAAACGATCGAAGCAAAACATATTCTGATGTACACGTTTTTCATCACAACAAACCAACTGAAAGAAGCTCTATTCGACAAATAAACTGCGAATAAACTGCTGAGTCGTCACCGGTTTGGCGCGTTGACACTGAAAACACCCCTCAGTGAGATGGTCGGAACACAGCACACAGCACCAGCAAAACACCGGGGCCGTGCCATTAAAGGCTAATGCTGTAACACGGACATTCCTCTCGGACTGTTCATCCATTATGTTCCCGCAACACTCATTCCTCCAAATTCAGGAACACACAAAAGCACTAAAGTTTCCGAACAGAGACAGTAAAATGCAGTCGATACATCTCCAAATCTGACACAATAACACAAGTGATTTAGACTTTTCGGGCTCAGCATTCCTTGCCCAGCGCAGCGTGGCTACGATAATAACTTTAGACACTGTGGGAACCATTGTGCCAACTGTCTCCTTTTTCTTTCTTTCTGTCTTTCTTTCTTTTCCTTGTTTGGACAAAAGCATCACTACTCACATTCTTCTAAAGTAATGTAGCAGTGAACGTTTCCAAAGTTTCCCCACCTGCTGCAAGGCCACAATAACTGGTGAAGAATGACAGGAGGGTCCAGTGATGCTTTAATGCCACCCCTGCTTTTTATCCTCCATTCTCACCCTAATGGGCTCTTCCAACCGTGTGCATCGGTGGCAAGACTGAATGATAGACAGAGATAGGTGTGTGTGCTTTAACCAAGGTCTCCCGAGAGCGTGTGTCTGTGTGTGTGTCAGACAGCATTAGGCCTCCTATGATTAATCCGCTGCCCTTGTGCCGAGCCGGGGAATTCTGCCGATTCATCACCGTTGGCCCGGCGGGGCCCGAGCAAATCGCACGAGGACGCAAGGAGAATGACCACTCAATGAGCAACACACAGGGCGGCTGCCAAGATTCCTGCAGCCACACACACACACACACACACACACACACACACACACACACACACACACACACACACACACACAACACGCACAGCTTTTACACGTCCCCCCCCTTTGGTGCCATCAGTTTCATCATTACCTGCAAACCACCTACTGTTTACAGGGAATTCTTGACTTTTTCTTCCTCTTATTCTCTCCCCATGCTCCCATTGCCTTTCCATATGAATTAGATTTTTTTATAGACATGATGGAACTTCAAAAGCAGTCAGTAAAGAAGAAGGGGAAGGGGAGAGAGAAGGAGGGGACTTGCTCATACATGAGGAGAACAATGATCAAATGACTTATAGATTTATCGGCTTACCCGTGGGTCCATGGCTGTCCTTGCTGGAAAAGTTGCCCATGCTGCAGCAACAGAATGCAGACTGCAGGTGCCCGCTGCACTTTGACTCAGCTCAGACCGCTGACCGTTCCTGCACACAGGCACTGGACATCCAAAAGCTGACGGGCGAAGTCTCGCACGGCTGTACAGATGAAAAATCATTCAGAGCAGCCCCAAACAAAACCTAAGCTAGTCCTAACAGTGGGCTGAGAGTGGAGCTGGCACTGGTTCTTATTTACATAGTAATAAAATCAGCCTCTTTACATACTGAGGCGAAATCACATGGATGAGGTCAGCATGCTGAGCCAAGACACTCTGGACTTCTTATGAGGAAATAAAACTGAAAACAAAAGCAGCAATCCAATCTTATCAAGGACGATATAACTTATCCAAGCTGACAACATGACAAACCCAGCACCCCGTCTTAACCTTTTAACTGTGCAGTGGCGCAATCGAAACTTTTATCCAAGTCCAATAAAGTGTTTTAACAAAGAAGAGAAACGGAAACTCGCACGTTGAGTGTTTTTCTGTGGCAAAAAAAGAAAAGAAAAAGAGGATACGAACCCCTGGAAGTGGACAAATAGTTCCCAATATCTGGAGATCTTCCGTTTCATGTACCTTCTCCGTCAGTTTCTCCTCCGAGCTTTGCGTCCAGACGCGCAGCCGTGCGCAGTCCGCGCTAAAGAGCGCCAGCAGGAGAAATGCAGCTGCGCTTCATTCTGAAGAAAAGCTTAATCCGAACAACATTTTGTGCCTGGAAGCATCCTGTTTAGGAGACGGTGCATGTTTTCAGTCCACTCGGTAAAAGAGAGACTACTCTGAACACGGATGACCGAAAGACCCAGCTCTCCTCAGTGCGTCCACTGGAGGGCACAGTCAGTCTTTGTTAAGAAAAGCCTTTTGCTCTCTCGGATGTGGCCCTCCCATATTCGTTGTTCTTGGCTGAGGGTATGTTTCTATAGTTTAAAACTTTATTAACTTTTGGCAAGAACTTTTGTAATGACTAAAAGTTAAAAAGAACGCAAGTAATAGAAACCTCTCTCATCTAAAAATAAAGAGAATAAAGATTATAGAATTATTGGAAAGGGACAGGACGTTTATCTTTTACAAAAAAAATAAACGTAAAGAACCCTCCAAGAAGATGTATACAGTAATCCTGTTACTTAACACATGGAAAGAAATGCATTTTGACGTCAGTGTTTTAATATGATAGTCCACTATTTAAACTTAATCTCAAACATTGCATCATATAGTTTTTTTAACCTTAGTTATCATTCTTGTCTTGTTACAGATCAACCTCAAATAAACAACCCATAGGAAACAGCTTCATTAGAAAAAAAAGTGTTTTTTTGCAGACATGGATGGAAGCAGTAAACTCATGAGTTGGAGAATGGAGTTTCATGTGTTGATGGTTTCAGGCAGAAATCGTATTGTGGTGCCTTAAGACAAACAATCTATTGATCAAGAACTGTTTTGTAATATGTACAGATTTTTGCTGTAGTATTAGTAGTTTCCCAACATCTCCCTTCTGTTTATACTAAATGTGGGTTATAAAAACATAGGAAAAGAAGAAGAAAAAAAACATGCAATCAAAGGGCTGAGATTAGTCTGTCAGCTTCATTTGAAGCTTTCTCAAGCTAAAAATGTATGGAAGGTGACTTCAAAACTCCGATGTCGGTCGGCCCCTCCTCTCTTTGACGTCTTGCTGAGAGGAGGAGCAGAAAAGCTGGTTGAAGGAACGTTTTCAGCCGCGTGAATCTGTGGCAGCTGCAGAAACTGTTCAGGGCTGCAGGAGATCAGGACGCAGATCAAAGGGCCGACTGTTTGGGGGTTAAAGATGAGACTGAACTCTGAGGGCTGAGGACCAATGAGAGGGATGTACTAGGAACACACTGGTTGCATGTTATCCTGTGACTATATATACATAGATATATAGTCACAGGATGAATCACCTAAAGGTTTGACTAAAATGCAACAACGAAGCTGAAAGTTTTCAAAATACTTTTATTATACATACGTTTTCCATCATAGTTTCATCAACATGAATCCTACAGCAGACAGAACGAACCTATCCTTTAACGGACACAGCTGACACAAAGTTGAAAGAACTGCTTGGTTATAGATGAGCGCTGATGTGTGACACACACAGCAAGCTGACGGACGAACTCTGTGCCTTCAAACATCCCCGTATTTCTACTCCGGCAGCAAACCTTTTCAGATATTCCTCTTTTTCAGTGCTCTGCCGTGGCAGTCTTCCCCTCGTAAAGAGCACAATGCTGATTGAAGGTTTACTGCAGAGCGGAGACAAGCCCGCCTCCCTCACCCTCTGATTGAGATCAATAGGCTTCCAGAGTGCTCGGTGCTCACTGTGCACCACTGCGGTATGGAGAGAATCCATCAAAACCAGTCAGGTGCATTACACAGCGTCCGGCCCATAACCACATTGATTTCAGGACTACAAAGCCTCAACTTGTCTACTGAATGCAGTTTAGAGCGGGGACGAGAAACATGTCAGGCTTCAGTGATGGAACAGATGACAACCGTGTTGAGTCGGGTATGTTTGTGCACAGGAGCCGAGTTTTTTTTTCCTTTTCTTTTTCCTTTTATGTTCCCGTAACGATGCCGTTATAAAATAGTTAGAGGTGTCGTCACAATGTGCGGGACAATATGACCAATTGTTAAGTATCCGATGCCAGTTGGAGCCATTAGCTCCCTGTGCTGAGTGGATTACAACCATTTTGTAGGTGACCCGCTGTGTGGGCAGTCTGTAGGGCCTCTGTTAGGGCTCTTAAAATTCCCCACCTGGTAGTCGCCGCATGTCCAATTTGGCAGACGGACAAGGCTGGCTCTTTAGCAACCAAAAGGAAGATTACAGGGTCTGGCTGACCTCTAACTGATAAAACACTCAACTTTCTCCATTCGTCTTTTTCACAACACTGCAAAAAAAGCCAGCAAAAACTCCTTCCCCTTCCTTTGAACGACTTATGTCACCTGTGTTTGGGATACGTCTAAACATATCCCGCGGGAGAGACAGATTAATCCTGTGCAATCCATAAGGCACAGCGTGCGTTCTCAACCACGCTCAGTTTCTCGCCAAAAATCTCAAGCCCCCTTTAACGGCCACCCAACTCTGGTGAAGACTTAAATGAAAACACCACTCGCATAATCTACAGCATAAATCCATGCATGGCTGTGAGAAGAATGGTGGATACTGCAGGGTGAACGGCACAATGTTTGGATGCACAGGAGCGTCTGTCTCTCACAGGTCCTTGTCTCTCTAATGCCAGATTAGGCATTAATGAGTGTGTGTGTGCACTCAAGGATTGATTTTCTACCAGGGTTAATCCCCGCTAAGGACACAGACTTATCCTGGTGGGATCATCAGTCTAGCTGGCCCTACTGTCTCCTGTAGTGTCTCGCACATGCAAATTAGCGCTCAGAATCCAACAAGGTGTGGTCGTGCAGACTCGTATTCACAAAGAATGTATCGCTTTCCTCCCACAAAAACACTGGTTTGGATTTAGACTTCAGCACGTGTCAAATTACTGGTCATCCGAAAGCTTAGACTCTTCTTGATGACACCTGCTCCTCCTCAAAAGAAATCAGCCGAAGCCATGTGCACGGAGGCACAAACTCAAGCACTTAAACGTGGCTTTTTGCCCAGAAAAGGATAGACAAGAGGGGGCCACAGAAAGATGGCTGCCAACCATCTGTGTACAGAGGGGCATTGCCAAGTGTGTCCCTTCACAAACCAGGGCTTGAGAAGACACACAATGTCTCCAAATTAAACACGCAAGCTCGTTTATACTCTCAATCATACTGTCTTTGGGATGTTTCAGCAACAGTCACATACTCATCCAGTCACACTTATCGTTTGGTGTCCCACCAATGCTCCACAACTCTATTCAGTTACACAGAAAGTGGACTATTCTTAGCGAATATGTATTCCACTAGAAAGAGAATTGCAAATGACTACAACTCCTAATTTTCTTTGCACATACAGGTTTATTCAGATATCCACACTTGTACATTTTCAGAGAGCACATGGGCCGCATTTCTGCAACGGGCCGGCATAGCTACAATCTTACACGTGCAAAAGTGTGGCTATTTGAACCCGAACCCCGATCTGCAACCTGCGCTGGGAAAATCTAGACGTGGCTCCGGGTCAGTTTTTAAGGGATTCTCTGACCCACGAAGGTGGGAGGCGGGATCTCCTGACAGGCGACGGGCCGGCGGGTGGCGTCGATGACGGGGGTCCAGTGGGCGGCCGCCGCCCCCCCGCTGCTGGCGTCGGTGTGGGAGCCCACGCGGTGCAGCACGCGGGGCGAGGGCCGGTGGTGGAGGGCCAGCTGCCGGGAGCTGTAGCCGCACATTCCGATCCCCACCGCCCCCAGCAGCATCGCCATGCCGGGCATGCTCCTCTCAGCCTGGGGCGCCACAGGCATGTTGTGGTAGGCTTGGGTCTGTAAAAAAAATAAAGAGGAAAGTTAGAGATGCCGGCATCTAATGAGCGAAGCACGTGATGCTCACCTCCAGTTCTGCAGCGATTAAAAACCTATCTATTCTCATTCACTAAACTGGCGTCTGCATCTTTTGACAAACAAAAAAAACTCATCCATCTTGCGACATGGACAATTTCCTCTATGGGGCTCTTGACAATTATGAAGCGCGCAGAGCAGCAAATAATGGAGGCTTCATAGTTTCTAATGGAGCTGTGTCACAGGCTGTTAAGAAGCCATTCCTGGGGCTCGCTCATCCACTTCCCATTTCTACTCACAATGCAATGAACTGTCACTGCTGGGGTTTCTCTATTGTTTGTGATGAACACAACCACCGCTGTCTCAAATACAAACCGCCGCTTGGACGACAACCTGGAAATAACTCCTAATTGTGGTTTGTGGGTATGCATTAAGATAATGAGGCATTTCATCATCTTTTCAGGACTAAATTTGTTGAAACAATAGACCGAAAACAGTGACATCATAGCAGTGTGAAGCTGGGTGAAACTATTTTAATGTGCTGTTGGAGCCACCTCTTGTTAATAAAAATAAAGCATCTCTATAAAGTCCAGTCCTTGCTCACACTTTATCATTTTCTCTCCTCAAAGTTACTCTCCTCTGAAACTTTAGGTAAATGCACTGCTTGTAGTTTAAAAAAATTAGTATTTTGGAAGGTAATCTTAAAAAAGAATTTAGCACATGAATATTTCAGATTTCCATATTTTATTTATGCTCAGTTCGACAGAACAATTCTGCCCCTGTGAGTCTACAAAGGTTTTGGCTCACCTGCAACAGCCTGATGTAACCAGGGGTAAGTCTTGGGAGTCTGAAAAACATTTTGGAGCCCTCCACGATGGTCCTGTTGTGAAGTTAGATAACTCAAAAGGCCGGATGACACTCGGCTCCTTGCTTAAGCTCCTCTCCCTGGGACTCCCGCACGGGGAACCCACTGAAAGAGGGTCTGTCCGGGCGCTAGAATCGACTCTCCGTCCTGCGCTCAGCTGTCTGCTTCAGGACGGTCTGGTCATCCCTTATATCGTCTCCTTCCAGTGTTTACATAACAGGAAGGCTGCGGGAGGTGCGACTAAGGGGATTACATGAGCTGGCATACAGTCGGAGAAGTCAGTATAAACAAGAAGAAGGCTTGAAGTATAGGGCTACAAGATCCTTTGATGTCAAAGGATACCAACACTGAGGAGAAGTGATTACAACTATCGAAACTACATGGATTAGTTAAAAAATTACACAGTCTAAAGTCAGAACGATTTTGCATCACTTCTGTAATATGACTCAAAGTTTATTAGTCTATAATTTACCTCTATCTACATGTAAAAACAAGTTCCCATTAACACTACAGTTGTTACCTGGTTTAATAACAGATGAATGTGCACATTATGAACATTTCAACTCTTTTATGACTTTTTCAAAGGGGTTTTTTACAAATGCAAACCTATTTGAACCCCTTATAACGACATTTCAGAGATTTCTGACTTCAGCCTTTTTGATGGAAGTAATCTGAAGTCAGATGCCCCAGAATCCAAGTCTAGGATGGCCCTGCTATGTCAGCAAATTTCTTCAAGCCTTAATATCCCTCCTGGCCTCGGGCTCCTTGGCAGAGTAAGGCCGCTCACTGTGGACAGTACGGATTCTTTCAAGTAGTGACAGGCAGGAATGACCTCTTCTCTTTGTTGTTAACGAAATGCAGTTTTTTTTTTTTTTTTTTTTTTTTAAACTCAGTGGATTAATGAATAAACGTATACCCCTAAAATTATGCCATAATGCTGTGTTGCTAATGTTACTGATGCAATGCTGAAGGGTTTTTCTGTCCAACAAGGAGGGATATTACATTAAAAAAAGAAGTGCGAGAGAGCAACTAGTCACAAATAATACACAAAACATGCTAACGGGAAGAAAACATAATTGAAACATTCGTCCAAAATCCAGAAATATGGACACAATGATGGATAAATAGTGTCTGGGAACATCATCCACAATGAAATTGTAGCCAATCTAACAGAAGTGGAGACATTTGCCTGGGTACAGTGTGTCAGCGCCTCAGCAAATCAGGAAATGACAAGGATTACCAAAATGTTCAAATTGATGCTATTGGCATGTTGGATATCTGCCCTCTTGGCATATTGGATCTCCAACTTATGCCAACATTCCAAAACAAATCCAACCAAGCATTTCCTCTTAATATGTATCTGGTTTGTCCTATTTTTTTCTTCCACTGGTGGATTGAATTTTTCGGAAGAGTGGCCTTACAAGACTCATAAAACATCACCATATCAGAGCCCCAAAAAAAACAGATATGCTTGGGCTTTTTCTTTTTAGGTATTGTTTCTGAAACTGGCACATAAGACGTATGAAAACACTGTGCATGAATAGATGAATAGATTCAACAGGAAGTGTTTAAAAATTCAAACTGGTGCTTTGGAGCAAAAATGTCAAATTGCACTTATTTATAGATAAATAAATAAAACATTTTCATGTGGTGTTCTATTATAACTAAACTGAAGGCCGGCACGCATGTTCAAATGGTCATGACCACATGGTTTCATTTTAAAGTGAAAACATTTAAATGTGTTAGTTGTGTGAAAAAATACACAACAGCTGCTTTAAGGGAGAATTCACACGCACATATTTAAGGCTTCAGCAGTCTCACTTCTCTTCACTTTTACCTAGAAGTGCTTTTTAACTGAATACTGGGTAAAATATTCACTCTGATAATGCAAAGGAAAAATATCTAAACATTTCAAGGTCCAGAGAAGGTACCAGTCGGTGTAATCATTTGCTTGATCAAAGCCTTGTTTTGAATTTGATCAATAATTTGAAATGTCAGGTAAACCCTCCGTCCTGCATGACAATCACTGTGCCAACTGTGTGACTTTGTGTTGGACTTTAATCCGATGAGGAATCTACTGCAGACAGCCACCAACACAAACTCTCAGACCTGTCCCTGATAGTGTAAAGTGTAACCTGCTGCCGTCTACTGACGCAGTCCAAATCTAAGACAACAGCACCTTTGAAGTTGGTAAATAGCAGGCAGCTTTTTACTCTGGGCATCGGAATCTCACCATCCAGCCGAGATAATTCTCTGCCCTCAACTTGAACTTGTCACTTGGCACGGAGCTACAGGGAAATGTGTTAAAATAGCTTTCCTGAGCCGTAGACAGGTATGCTGTTGTTGTAGTGTCCACACTGCCTTAAAACAGTTTGTGTTGCTATATGAAGCACAGAGCGGTAAAACTAAAGAATGACTATTGGGCTCCTTATCATTCTTCTTTATGATGAAAACGTATTGAGACACACTGGGACCTGAATATTCTCAGAAGTAAACAATCACAAGCCAACTTGATTTGGAGGGAGGGAAGTCAGATGTTTATAATATGTGTGGGGCTAAAAACAATTAAATGGTTTAATTAAATTAATTAAACTGCAGAAAGTGAACAGGGCATTCAATAACAGTATGTTAAATTAATAATAAAGTCATAAAACAAAACTCCAGATATTTATTTTGTTCTCACAAATTAGACAAAGTAAAAACAGACTGGACATAAAAAAAAAACAATGTTCAGTACCACAATATATTTACATGCAGCGTGCTTAGCGTTTTGCAGCAGAAGTTCTCCCTCTTTTTCTGTGATAGTATCAGGAGTGTGCTGTGTTAAGTTTTGCTTCTTTGTTTCTTTGCATGGGAAGAATGTGTCCGATCCAATATGTGAAGAGTGAAACTACCGCCATGGTTTCCTCTGAAACACAAAGACAGAGACGGAAACATCCCACTTACTTCTCACAAAACGCCACCGCAGGATCAATATCCTATTCTTAAACAAGTTGTTGCTATATAATATTAATGTTTAAAGGCCAGTGTTCAGTGTCTGTGAATGTCAACTTGAATACACTTAAAAGAAATCTACTCTGAAGGTGCTCCTGCAGTCAACTGATGGGGGGGCAGACAAAACAAGGAAAGCTTTAGAGGAAACACTAGAAGGGCTTTAAAAGCACGCATGCACCTGGATTAGCACCTTCACAGCAGTGGATGTGGACTATATCTAAAGATACTGCTTGCATGCGGCCGATGAAAATAAGAAAAGCAGTTAGGAAAATCTTTAAAAAAATCCAATTGTAGTTATTTCTCAATATAAGATTAGATGAGTTTGTGCTACGGTACACTGCAAAAGAAAAAAAAGGTATAAACATGTTTTTTCTTCTCTGACATCCAATCCATGTTTGGGTTGATTTCATAGGTGCATTAAACAAAACAAAAAAGACAGACTCACTTGAAATAACGCTGTACCATTAATTTAATTTACACAAAACACAGAAGAAGCCCCAGGGAGAGTCTGATGTAGGGACTCTCATTACTGAGGAATGCTTTTCCCTCTTGCAGTGTTGATCTGTCAGCAGCTGAATCAAGAATGTGACTCTTTGTTAATGCTCTTTGTAAAAAGAAAGGACCATAGTTGTGACCGCCCTGGCCCGCAATCAGTAAGCAGAGAGACAGATGCATGCATGCATGCATGGAGAGAAAAAGGGCTCATCAGCACAATACTTCCCATCATTGGGAGGCACTGGAAAAGGGGTTTATTTATTTCCTTTGTTTAAATCGTAAAATATATACTACAATATCCCGGGATGCCAAAATCTGTGTCAATCACATTGGGCTTGAATTACAGAGCAAGCCTCGGTATAATTTTAAACAGCCATCACATTGTTCAGCAATATCTGAAGCACAGAACAACAAATGTGTTACTGAATAGACTGAAGCCGTTCAGCCTGAATAGACTGATTCACACAGTTACACAGAACCTCTCCCTGTCCTTGTTAAAATGCCTTTTAAAACCAGTAGAATTTTAGAAACCGTGAACGAGGGCATGACTCACACTTTGAAGGGAAGTGGGCGGGAAAAGGAAAACCTTTTGAAAAGGTTTGAGGCAGATGTGGAGCAGGTGTAGAGGGAAAGCATCAGTTCTCTTATTAGTGTTAAAAAACCACAGAAATTGAATAGACAAAAAAATCTCACTCGGTGGCCAAATCTTGTAGTTTGTCTCCCTCAAGCTCATTTTCACTCACATGCGTGTAACAAAAGCAAAGTCCCTCCTGATCCTGTTAAATACTGAGCTTGCCAACAAATGCACAAAGCCACACTGAGTTGTTCTCAGGGGACGCGAGAGACGTTTGTCTGTTGACACTTCAAGCAAGATTAAACATGTTGGTTCACTGGAGGTGGGGCTAACCTGTGTGCGATGTGCATTTTGGACAAGACCGGTACCTGAATTAAACCCATTTAGGCAGGTACACACAAGTAAAGGCAAGTAAGGGCAGGCACATCAAGAGAGCAACGCAGATCACCGTTAGAGCAGACCAAGTAGGAAGGAAATAAAGGCAAACAGAGGCAAGAAATAACCTGCAGGGACACGCCGAAGCAGGTTTCAGCGGACCGGGATCAAAAGCAAGTGGATATCATAGTGATGACACCTCCTATTGGCATCTGTCCACAAACATCTCGTGTGTTTTTCCCTTCTGATGCTTTAACTCACCTGCAGCCATCGAGGGGTTGTGGCCGAGCTCGTCCAGGGCCTTTTGAAGACCGTCCGTGTCTCTGCGCTGAGCTAAGGCCTTCAAGCAGCATAGCTGCTCCAGGACACAGTCGGGCTTACTTCCACTGGCTATGCTGACCAGAAGGTCGTCCACCGTGACAGACAGGTGTGGGACCTTAGCTTCACGCAGTGAGTCTGTAGGAGCACGGAAGAAGTGAGAGATGGTCCGTTACTCGAACTGTGTTTCTTTTGGAGCAGATACCACTTAAACGGTCCATATGCAGGATACAATTTATCATCCAACTAAATGTCAAATTATGTACACACACCGGGGTGGCAATTAACTAATGAGGACAGTCAAAAAGCTCTCAGAGAGCTGCTTTTAAATGAAAACTTGTTAGTATGTTTTGACACAGTCACAAGGAATTGTACAATTTTATTAGGTCTTATTAGGTCAAACATTGTAAGTTTTGTGTTTTTCTTTTTTAAAGTGGACCAATGAACATTTGTTAACAACCACAGGATTCAGTGCAGTGGTCATTGTCCAGGAATGCAAGGAAGAGAGCTCAATACTTACTATCTGACATATAGATTTCCACTGTCCTCTTTAGGAAGTCTGACAACTCAGCAACTCCTCCCTTGTTATCTCCCTCCTTGTTCTCCCCTCCATCTTTATGGTAGGTGAACTCCAGTGCAGAGGCTCGGGGGAAAAGTCCCAGAGAGATCATCTTCTCTTTGTGCCTTTTCTTCTTTAGCTTTCTCCTCTTGTTTTTGCTCACGTGTTCCCCTCCTTCGTCCACAGGCGCCTGGCTCTGACCTGTGCTGGACTCACCCTCTGCTGCCCCGTCATTCCCAGAGCATCGAGGTGGGGCGGGCTTCTTCTTTCTTCTTCTCCTCCTTTTTTGCTCCTCTGCTCTTTTTTCACCTCCCAGCTCGTCATGGCTTTCATGGACACTGTCCTCTGGAAGAAAGACAGCAAACTCTTGATCTTTTTACAGACCGTTGTTAGTCGCTAAAACTTTCAATGGGCATCTATGATGTATTTGCTCCTCAAGAACAATAAGCATGCGGTCAATAAGTTCATATTGGAGAGGGGTGACAATGCCCTTGGAAAGATCGATACCCCGTCTTTTTTTCTCCTTACAACCTAACAAGACCCAGAGACCCAAAGGAAGCACCCTTACCAAGTGTTTGGTGAAGACAGATTTCTATCGGTCCCTCAAATTATTTGATCACTTTACAGCAAAAACTGGAGGATTAACAAACATTTGGTCAACATTATGGTGGCAGTTTTCTAAGTACCTTTTCAATGGCTGAGAAGAAAGTGAAGAAGTAGTAGTCCAAACAACAGTGTATTTGACTTGCTTACATAACGTGAATAAGCCAGTTGTTGATCACCTGTGAGACCACAGTCTGAGGAAAGCTGAGGGCTAAAACATGTCTGTTGTTGTTCCTAATTAAAGCAGTTACAAAACTTATTTACAAGCTCTTTAAGGCACCCAAGCTCCTGAGTATCTGTATTACTCGGCCTACAGTGGTGAAGTGAGTTGAGACCTAGTTATTATGAAGATTAATGCATATCATGAAATTCATTTCTAGATTTTCAAACCACTTATTGAACCCCTGTTTCTTTGCATGGGAGTTTTGGAATCCCCATCAAGAATAAAATGTCTTTTCAGATAAAACAAGGTAAAAACTCTATTGATCCCGCTGGAAATTGTTGTGCCATGGTTTCGATACAAAGGTCTCAGACAAAGTATAAAAATGACAGTATAAAATGTTAAGTGTAAAAATGTACAACAAATAAGGTCCTAAACAGAATGTGCAGACAATAACTTTAAGTGTTTATTGTAGATCAGGATTAATCGTTATTGTCCTATGGGGATCATAACAGTAAAAGAACATTTAATCACTCAAAATAATTGATTTGGAGTAACTGATCCCTGAGAGGAGAGTATCTGCCCTCAGCAGATCATATTACTCGTGGTCAAAGATTGAGGTTTCTGCCCACTAAAGATGCAACTCATTTTTAAATCTGTTACTTCAAGAAAACCACGGATTATATCTTTTTTGGACGAAAAACGTATCACCCCGTCAAGATTTCGTAACCTTCTTGAAAAATCCCACCCAAGCTGACATTAAACTGGAAAAAACCTGTCTTAAAGGATTAGTACACAGCGATAAAAAAAAAAAAGTTTATTAAAGAGTCATTATGCTGACGGGGGCAATGAAATTAACCTTGCCATTCATGTCAGTAGATACCTGTAAACAATGTCTTGAGTAAGCCAACAAATATGTTTAATTTCACTGAAGTAAGCATTAGTCTGCCAGAAGGATTAGCATTAATGAATATGGGGGACACAGGAAAGCGTAAAGAACTATGGATTTTACAGACGCCTGACCATTTCCTCAGAAAAAAAGGATAATTAAATTATGCATATTAATGGTAGAATGTGTGACATACCCTTCATCATGAGTCAAATACATTTAAAGCTTTCAAAATGTATCCTGGCAAACACTTCAACAAATAAATAATAGTGATATGAAAGAGCCAGTCAGAATCTACACTGGATTAAATCTTTCCTCTAAAGATCCAAACGGTTTTCCTCAACAAGAAGGGCACACAATTTATAAGAACTATTTTAATTAGAGGCACAGACGGCCATGAAAAATATAATAAATACCATACATTTCCTGTAGCTCAATTGTGCATAACACAAGTCCATAAATATAATGATTATTGTTCTCTTACCAGCTGGATCTTTTGCACAATTGACGCTTTCTAGCTGGGGAAGAGCGACTGGATTTATATTGTACTCTGGGGGTGGGGGTAAGACGGTGTACATCCGTGGGCAAGGCTTGGCTGGTCTCTGTGTCTTTCCTCCACCTCCAGGAGAAATGAGAGCACACGAAAAAAATCAAACACAGAGCAGGAACATGGGTATGTGGTGATAATGTGATTTCAGCAAAGACGGTACCCTGTCCAGAAGTTTTTCTTTTCACAGCAGTTGTTTGGAGTTCGACTACTTTTGGAGGGTTGTGGTCCTTCACTGGTTTAGCAGATGCAGGGTAAAGCTTCTGCAGAACTTTTGACTGAAAGGCTATGTGCAACAGATGAAAAACAAAGTAAAAAACTTTCTTAAACTGGTGCATTACTGTTGTAAAACACCTTTTTGAATTCAACCTTTGAAACGTTTGTAAACCATATTGGTAATATTTCCATATTACCAAAAAAGTTTATTCTAATGATAATAATAACAAGTTATTGAAATAAATAGAACAACCTGTAGTTTGTAGTTCATTACCAACATTTTTTGAAAAGGGACAAATACATTCAGAACGTCTCAGTGTCTCACATACAAGGTCTAGAGTCTAGACAATAATATCGATGCACATACAGATGTTGTTACAAGCATTTGTGTGAAAATGATGAATGTGCAGACAGTTGACAGTGGAGCACGTGTATTTGTTTACAAATCTAGCCAGCCACTTTAGCACAGGGTTAGACAGTTAGCTGCATTAGCAAGCTAGCTATTTCTGTTGATATATTTCTGTTTTGTTTTTTGGGATAATGTATAGGGGTGACAGGTGTAGTTTACCTTCTTTTCTATGTGCCATTTTAACATGTCCAATTCAACCGAAGAGAAGAAGATATCCGACTTCAGCTCAATTAGCTTTCAAAGCAGTTAAGCTAGCAAGCTAGTTGAACGAACTAGCAAATGTGCTGTTAAAGTCAGCTCGTTGTAGTCGTATCTGCCTCACATTCAAAGGCAAACTGAGGCACTGGAGCAGACATTTGGATTTGTATTTCAATAGCTATCAAAATAAGTAAAACATGTCAAACATTTCACGACGCCTGGCTCAATGTGCTTTCCACTTCTAAACACACACACACAATGTGGTTGCGAACGATGCTACGAAACCTCCGCACAGTGTCGCCAATTTCCATTAAAAAAACACGGCAATTTAAAGTCCATTTTACTAACTGGATAGAAAAGCAAGTTGGTATCGTGAATCACTATTAAGTTTGATAAGTAAAAGGCGCTCTTCAAGTCGGCATACAAATTATACGTTTAAGTACACAATTAGCTGTAAACATAGAAAAATAGAAACTATTTAAAAATGAGGCAACTTATTCAAATACTCAGGGAACAGCCAATAGAAGATAATCAGCGAGTAGAATCGAATGAGTATGTCAAAGTATGTCAAAAATAACCCAAACTCTGCCTTATAAAAATGAAATCACTTGCTCACTTTCTTCTCTCAGGCCTGATAAATCAAGCTAGAGCTCCCCATGTGTTTGGATGTAGTAACAACAGCAGCTTGGGGCGTGCTCACGCCACTCCAGCTGTAGGAAGGGGAGGAAGCGAGATGAGAATACTAAGCAGGCGCCTCATGGCTCAGCATCAGCACCGGGCTGAGTTGAAATTTGCGCACCCGTCAAACTTGGCTTGGGACCTCAGCATGTGAAGAGGCTTTGCGGGAGAGGAGGATCCACCTAGAATGTCAGCTCTGAAGAAGGTAATTCCCTTTCCTCCCTTTTTTTTCCCCCTCTAAATATTACAGCACACATTCACTAATCTTATAATGACTATAAAGATGTAAGCCGGAGCATCAAAAAAATGCAAGTGTTTTTAGTAGTTTGGTTTTGAGAGTTGAAGAAGACTGAAAATCACATGTCTGATCATTATGAGTCAGACACTAACAACACAATGTAGTGATATTTGCATCATGTATGCATGCACAACAGAATTGACTCATTAGATTTCTCAGATTACATCACAGTTGCCTTTAAGCGTTATTAGGAATTAGGAAGATGTGGACCATTTCAGGCTGATAAAAGCTCTTGCAGCTTGGGGTAACTTCTTAAAAAGATGCTATATAATATTTGATGTGCCAAGACTCCTCCTTTCGTGCAGAGTCACGTAATACTGTAGTCTCTGTGGGTGGATGAGCTTCTCTGACAGAGCCCCGTCATGAATGAGTGGAGCTTCCTACAGTGCAACAGAAAAAGGCACTGGATGAGCCAGAGGTTCTGTAAGATTCAAGAAAATTACTTTGTGTGAAATTGTTACATAACATGTTGCAGTGGAAAAGACTTAGAAAAGCATATGCATAAGTCCACAGTGAAGCTTGCACCATGAATGGTGAAAAAACATGTGTAGGAATTTTGCTGTTGAGGGGATAATATGGGAACAAGTTAAATGCAGTTCTGCGTCAAACCCTCATTATCTTTTTAACTTAAAAAAAAAAGTCTTAAATTCAGTGCAGGTGTAAGCGTTGATGTGTCCACCACTAAAGGAAAGTTGGACAGAATGCCTGTTTCAGCGCCACTGCAAATGCACAGCACTCAGCATACGGCGTGAGTGACAAAGTGCTGGCTGCCAGCACTCACATCGTCAGACATTATAATCACAGAGGTACTAAAAATAGGCAGTCGTATTCATTGCAATTCTTTGGAAGCTCCGCGGAGTTATTGCTGTTCACCTCGGTGACTCGCGGCTTTGCCACAATACGCGTCAATGCTGTACCCTTAACCTGCTCAATAATACACAGACTTATTTTTAGATGGCAGTGGTCAGGTAGCCTTTCTTCAAAGACTCCCTGTGACATGCACAAGTTTTGAATGCATATGGAGTTGAAAAAGAGTGCATCACACAGTGTTCTGCTCTGTACCTGGTAAATGCATTTTCTAAATGTTTTATGGAGGACCTTGGAAAAGTGGTGCTTTAAAAAAAAAAAAAAATGCCAGTGGTGACAAGAACTGCAGAACTGAAAAACAGGATTGGACCAAGGCAATAAAATAGCCTTGGGATTTTGTTTCTTGAATGCCCACTCTGTAGATGAAGTATGTGCCAAGGATTCTGAGTCTGATAAGGGTTTTTTATTTACAGTGCACCACAGAGCGAGTGAATCAAAAACTTTTCTTTAGCTCCCTCTCAAGTAAACAGAACACACTGAAACATGTCGCTTATGTATGGATGCAAATCTGTACAAATCCATAGTAGTGTTAGAACATTGATCAATCACTTAGAATGTCAATATCTAAAAAAGCTCTATAAGCAATCTTGAGGTTCTCTTCTACAAAAAGCAAGACAGTAATTGATTTAATACTTCATCTAGAATCATCTGACAGCAAACACCCTAAATCAGCCCTGTCATAAACAACCCTCACATGTCACAAGTGATTTTTTTCAAATCAATCACTGTCTAAGCATCAATCTTTGGTCCATTTTCATTTCTGTTGTGTAGTGTGTGACTGATTGCCAGAAGCAGAGAGACAGGCTGGTGAAAAATCATGCGACCCAAAGTTAACTTTGGAGGACACATTAAACTATGTGGTGGATGATATCCAATCATATCAAAATACCTTCCCACTTTCTACTGGGCCAGAAACCACACACTGTAAGTCGGTTAATTAAGGTCCAAAACAGCAACAAAAATGCTATATTTTGTCCCTTTCCTATTTCACTACTGTGTCTAAAGGCCCAATTAAAAGACCCCTCATGACCAGACCTCAGACTCTTGTCTGTGACAGTAGTTTGTGAAAAACTCAGTGCAGCTTATTCAGGTGTTTCTGATTTCTTTGTTGCATTCCTTGGACGATGACCTAAAGTGCAGTAAAAAAAAAAGAAGAGGCTACAGCAGAGTGGCAAAACACAATCCAGTGAGCTAACTGTCTGAGGAAATGTTGTGACAGCACCAAAGCACCTTGAATGAGAATGTGCCTGTAATAACACTCTTGTTTCTCCCAAAATGGTCCTACAGAGTCTTTGGACTGGTTTGAGTCAAATTTGAACATACACTATACTGAAGCTATTACATCGTTATTTGGATTTGTTGGTCTGGTTTGCGGAAGCTCAACCTCTTGTAAAATCTGTCAGGCTTGCATGTTCACATGCATGTCAGACGCCATCTGAATGTGCTCACTGAGAAGCAAATATATTTAATTTAAATGTAATTGTACGGGATCATAATGCATGAGGATTTAGGCATACACACAGCCTGGCATACCTAACAACAAAGCCTGTCACTGGGTTTTGAGGTGGTGCTCAGTACTGTAGTTCTTTATTCGTCAGAAAGAATATCTTATGTGTATTTTCTTATCTGCAAAAGAGCCCCGGATCATCACTGCTTTTGCTTAACAATCTGCTACTCCTTCTTTCAATGAAAGGAGAATGATTCATGAGACCGAAGAGTTTTGTTAATCTCATGAGCAATTTATCCTCCTTACAAAGAAGAAAGCCTAATTTAAAGCCACTGCTTAAGGTGAATGAAGGGGGGGAAAAAACATGGTGTTCTTTTTAGGGACATTTTCAAGGCTGCAGTGTGAATGCTCACACATGTGCATGCCCAGGCGAACTGGAGTCATGAACAGGAAGCTGGTCTCCACTTGGCAGTGACGTGACCAGCCTCTCACGGCCTAATTGAAGATTCACAGCCAACTTGAAACGGCACGCGTGTGTGCGTGGTGATGTCATCTTGGTTTACAGGGGGAGTGAAGCAGCGGAGAATGTAAATTGCTCTTACTGAAAATTGATGCTGAAACATTCAGCAGGCTCTTTCCTTATTCATCCAGTCACCATGTCAGATGTGCTTCTGCTTCCCAAGTCCAGCTCCAACTTTTCTTTTCCTTCTTTCCACCCACGTCAAAAGTTTTACGACCCTCTAATGCACTCTTATTAGTCTTCTCTTATCTCCAGCCTGTCTGTTTATTATTTTCTTTTGAAGTTGCCAATCATACAAGTTTAAAACCCCCTGCTCATCTGTAACAGTATGTGGTTCGAGTGTGTTTGCATAATTTTGGGGTTCTCGTGTTCTTCCCTGTGCTCAACTCCTGCTCGGTGTGTAGCCTTAAAGGTGAGCCTGAGGAGAGGTCTTCCAGGCATTTGGGCGTCAGTGCTTTATCGGGGTGTTGCCGTCGGAGCATTAGCTGTTCATGAGTCGGATGTGACCTCTTGGAAGATCCACGAGCAGCTGTCCTTTGGAAGTTTGCACCGCTCAGACACCAGTGCCCATGCCTCTCATCAGCCGCAAGCCTTTGAAACCCTTTGGGCAGAGACAAAGGCTAATCATCTTGTGGTCTAATTGGAAATTCT